GAGCCCCCTCTCACAGCTCTGCAGTGTACAACGGAGCTGTTGAAGCAATAGCAACTTTTTCAGGTAAGTAAAAACTTAGTAGTAATGCTTCTAACTCACCTTGTGCTGAGGGCATTCTTTGGCAATGGTGCCTTTCGTTGTATTTCCCATGAGGACCAAGGTCAACAGCAGCAGCCTCCAGTATATAACACCCAAACAAATAGTGTGCAAAGTACATTTTTACTGTACATCTTTATCAGTGGGATCTTAAAAACTAATCTTTAAAAATATATAGATATAAGCTTTTCCTTCTTAGGGGAGCCTCATTCCAGCAAAGTTTTTGAGAGTTTAAGTTCACAGCTCTGTTTAGAACCATGAATTTAACCCCAAGTAAGCAGTTCAAAAACCCCATGCAATGACACCTATTTGTCCCTCAAATATACCTAAAGCTAGGTGGTTCAAAAATTAAAGAGCATATTAACAGATACACCGCTCTAGATGGTCTCTTTAGACAGTGGATTACAGATCATTTCAGGATGAGTGCTCCTGAACAAATACTGTGATTGCATCTGTATCCTGATCCATGAGTTTGCCTCCAGACGTGACATACAAGAAGAGGCTGAGAGCACTGTAATTGTTTTCTCAAGACTAAACAAGGGATCTTACTAGTGTGCATAAATACCTGAAGGGGGAAGAGTAAAGAGGACAGAGACAGACTCTTCCCAGTGGTGCCCAGTGACAGGACAAGAGGCAAGGGGCACAAATTTAAGCAAAGTTCCACTTAAATATACAAGAACATTTATATTGTAATGGTGATTTAACACTGGAACGGGTTGGCCAGAGGTGTGGACTCTCCATCCCTAGAGATGTTCAAGACCTGGCCACCATCCTGAGCAGCTTGCTCTAGTTGACCCTGCTTTCAGCAGGGCTAGGAAGTCTCCAGAGTCTCTTCCAACCCCAGCCAATCTGATTCTCTTTACATTACTTGATCCATCCAAATGACATTCCTCTTTGGCCACAGAAGACATACGGGTGAAGTGCAACTTCTTCATTTAGATAACCAGGCAGTATCAACAGAGCCTCAATTTAAGCTCACATTTACACAGCTATGCCTCCTTCATACCAGGAGCTTTATCTCACATTTCTACAGGTAACTCCCAGTTTACTCTTCCCTGCAATCAGCATGAAAAATGCATTTTACTGAAGCTAACCCAAAACTTCTCAGACTATCAGCAGGATTCCCAAGGGCTTTCTTGCTTTTACACCCTCTGGCACTTGATACTATTTCAGAGTACACAAAGCACTCGCAGTACTGGGAACCTCTGGTTATAGCAGTGATGTGCTCTTTGTCAGAATTCAAAAAGCCCGTGCAACCAGCAGATCAGTCCAATTTTGCACTAGTCTGCCTGAAAACATCTGAGCAACTGGTACTCTTGACTCCGATAACGCACTGCTGTATAACCTGCCTGGACCAGATTTCTCTCTGCATTTGAGCTACTAACCTCAGCATAATGTGTTTCAAAGAGCTTTCATAAACTTACAGAAGCCTCTGTGCTAAAGGAACATAAAAAACCCCACAATAGCTGAGTAACCTTCTTACAGCAGTAGATGGTATTTCTCCAGTATTCAGAAAGGGAAAAAAGCAAGCCTCATCATTAAGAAAAAATTTTTTAAAAAATCAGGACACTGGAGTTTGTTATACCATATTATGCTCAAGTAGGGGCTTTTACTATATGTGATGGTCAATAAGGCATTGATAAATGCAGTTCTAAGATTTTTCCACCAGAAACTGAAAAAGATGCTTTCATAAAAAAACAAAGCATGAGGGAGTGCAATGGATTTTCATTTCATAAAGATCTTTACATGAAGAAATTAAACTCCATTGTGCATATTTTGGGAGAAAATGTTTGGTGGGATTGTTCTTCTCTTTGTTCACAGTTGTCAAAAAACGGACTAACAACAATAGACTGTACACTGCTGCCTCCAGCTTTAGGCATGAGGCACTTTCTCAGAGCACTTTAGCCCGTAAGGGCTCTGTAAGCAAGGGAAAAAACCCAGAGCAGAAGACACCACTAACAAAATGTAAGCCACACCATGATCAAAGCCCATTGTGGCTGTAGCGGTCTCAAAGAGCTCCTGGCATGACCCATTTACGCAGTTATGCAATGGATTCAGAAGGATGATAATGTTTCAGAGTTGTAATTATTTCTTTTAAATGTTTAGGTTCAGCAACAGCCATGGCAGTTGGATATGTCAAAGTAAACTGGGACCTTTCTGGAGAACTGGCTTTGGGAATTTTCTCTGCAATGGATGCTGGTTCTCTGTTTCTCATGCACTTTATTGACAACATCTGGGCATGTTATGCTGGTTACCTTGTGTTTAAAGCATGCTATATGCTCCTTATAACAATAGCAACGTAAGTATAATACACACCTGTTCTAATTAAATTTAAATCCATAAATGCCGTATTTTCAAAATTATCAAAATTTTACTCTGTTTCCCTTAAAATAGTATTTTTAAATAGATCACAACAGCAGCACATATTTCTAGCTTATACAAAACTATGCTTAAAATTATGTGACCCAACCATTACAATAGGTTACTCCAGTCAGAAACTACCTTACTCTGCATTAAGCTGTTCAATGATCTCTGTAAAAGTATTCTCAAAGTGATCAAAACAAACATACACAGGTCTTCATCCAGCAAAAATATCCACTGAAGTAAGTAAAAGATAAGTAGGATGCACAAAAGTGCCAAAGCCAGAAAAACAAGGGATTTCTGCCAAAATGAAGTTGTTAAAGCTTAACAGCAAAGACTGAAGAGGCTTTATCCTATGAAGAATCCACTGTGCACATTAAATTGTTCCCAAACTTCCTCCCATAAGTAACTTGTGAGCATCCACGTTCTCCATGGCTTCGCTAACCTGCACATTCATTTTCAGGTTTCAGATTGCTGTCAATCTAAGCATGGAGCGTTATGCTTTGATGTTTGGCTTCAACAATTTTGTTGCACTGGTGATTCAGACCATTTTAACCATTGTTGTGGTAGATTCCAAAGGTCTGGGACTGGATATCAGCACCCAGGTAAGCTACGTTACTCGCGCTGCTCTCGGTACCCCTACTCTCCTCCAAAAGAGGGTTCTACCCCAGGATTAGTCTTTGGGAAGATACCAGGTAATGGGCTAGCTTAGGACAGTTACTCACTTGAAAACCAGGTTCATTTAAAGTGAACTGGCAGTAGCTACTACAACCTACTTGTCCTCTAGTCCTGCTGATTTTGCATTTCTGCAGTAATTTTAAGAATATTTTCATAAAGAAGGGAAAGACTACCACCTATTACTCCAGTGTTTTTTTTTATTTACGCTTACTATTCACAAGTCTATTGTCAAAATACCCGAAACAGAAGTAGGAAGCAAGCTGAAAGGCAACCTATGGGTCTATTACCAGCGTAATTCTCAGTAACATAGTTTTGTTGGATGCATCTTTAAGTTACTGTAATTATGAAAGTTAACTAATCTAATGATTCCCCATTAAATTTCTAAATTTAAACTTACATACTGAATGAGGTCCAGGTCTCTAGCTTTCACCTTTTCAGAGAAGAGCCAGAAAGCGCAGGGCAGCTGTCATCCTCCCTTATCAAGGTGGGGAGAGGATGCACGTAACAGTATTCTCTTCCCCTTCCTTTATGACTGTAGACTTCCTAGAGTATGAAGTCAAGCAGCCAGACTTCTTGAAACCCTTCAAGACGGGATCATGCTGGGGCATGGGCAACAGGGAAGGGAAGGCGGCAGTGGAGGGACACCCCTTAAGTTATCAGCCAACAGCAAAAGCAGTTTTGACTCTCCCTCCTCCTTCCCGACCTCCATTTCCCAGTTTCTCATTTATGGCAGCTACTTCACATTCATAGCTGGAATCTTCCTGATCAGAAGCATATACAGCATTGTTTCCATCAAATGCAGAAATACCAGCATGGCTTGTGAAAGCATCGATCATTAACAAAGGAGATGAAAAGAATGGCTGCAAGCAACAGTGCAGAAGGCTGCATCATCTGAGCACTCAATTAGGAGAAATGTAATGCTCAATCAAGCACGACTGGTCAATGGTGGAACAGGCTGTTTATAAGCCTACAGCATAAAGGGCTTTGTCAGCAGGATGATGCATTTTGCTCAATTTCTTCATCAGTTGTTCTAATATCAAACAGTGCTCAATCTTCTATTTCAAGTCAAGTTTAACGATCTGACACTAAAACTTCTATTAATGCTCAATAAGCACAAGAAGCCAATGCATACAGATGCCTGAACCTCACAGCAGAAGAGCTTATAGAACACAACCTTTACTGTTTTTGTGTTTTATAGAACACAACAACACAACTCAGTTCTATTGAGTATTTCAATTGAAGGCAATTTAGCCAGAAGCATAAGACCTTCAAACATTCCTATAGAACCTAAAGAAGCAGTTGCCCCATAGCAGCAAGATGATCTGTCACAGACACATGAAAGCTTGTCACAGAAATCTTGTGAAAACCTAAGACTTTTTCAACTGGTCAAGTTGTGACATGCACTTTTAAAGCAAGCTAGCAAATCGCAATAAACCATTTTTTTCACAGAAACGTTACCTCTGTATGTTCAAATGTGGATTACTACAATGCTCTATAGCACAGCAATGCAGCCATTTCAGATTCCACAGACAATGCACTCCTCAGAAACCTGAGGTTACAGCACCGTAAGGAACACACGCCATTATATATAAGTAAACTGCTACTGCTGCAGTGACAGCTTTACTGTGACATTGTTAAGATGTACAAATACACCACACTAACCTTCCCTCTGAGTGTCTTGTCAGACATAACTAACGCATATGCTGATCAACCGCCATGACCCACACGCTTATCTCTGGAAGCAAAAAACCACACCCCTCCTAAACTAACTTCTATTAAAAATAAGTCCCGGGGAGACACTTCAATTTCTACACAAGGCAGTCTTAAATAAGACCACTTAAAGTTTAGATGTAACTAAAGCTAGTTAGGGAATATTCTTTCAACTGTGTTCAACAATGTCCACTTTGGAGTCAACTATGTCAGACAGCAGCAAATTCCATTGTGTTCCTTTACTACAAGTTACAGATTTGCCAAGTCAGGAGTAACTAATGTTTCCCCCAGTTCATCTCACAAGAAAGTAAAAATCATTAATTCATTTAAAAACATACTTATAAAGGCTACTTGAGCTCACCTTTATGCCCCAGTAAGTTTTCCCTTCAAGAGAGCAGAATACTTGTATCATATTTATAGTTCTCTTTCAGGAATTCTAACTAAATTTGGTCCTTTTCAAATTAATTTCTTGCCTCAGCATTTGTTTCAACACCGTGCTTGGGAGTTCACAGCCATTAAATAAACTTTGAACTGCAGCACCTGAGCATCACATCTGCCTTGTAGAATTCATGATGCATGTCTTACAGCATCTTCTTACACACGTAATAGCTGACATACAGAAATCAGAAGTATTAACCTAGGTCTCCAAATTAATTTCTGTACAAGAGGGCTAAAGTGATCAAGTGAAGTGCTTTAATGCTAAAGCAGCAGAGGATACTGGATAGCTTTTTGGCAACTATGCTAGTTGCATGAGCAATTGCATGAACAACTGCAGGGATTTCTAAGACAAAAACATTTATAAACATGGGTGCAGAATTTATTTTGTAAATACAGCTATTTAAAAAATGTAAACAACAAAACAGTTATGGTTTCAGTTTCTGCTCAATATAAAGACAACTCAAATATACAAGGTCTTCAGCTGCTTGTCTGGAGTTTGACAAACTTAAAATTAATGAACATACGCTAAACAGATGCGGTTGCGCATAGTAAAAGTTGCCAATCTTTTAGCTGCATTCAAACTAGTTCAGAAGAATAAGGTATTGCACTATTTCTGCAGCATAATCCAAAGCTACATGCCTTGCACCCTTAAATGAATTTCAGTATCTCTTAGCAGTAATCAGCTTCATTTGGATCAGAACAACAATTTCAATAGATGATCTCATTAGCCCTTGCCCAAAGCTTAAATTTACATCAATTTAGGTGGAGAAATCACAGGATTGCTCCTCTTCCAACAAGGCCGTCTCCTTGATGAGACATTTGGTTGATTTGGTCCAGTTCCCTGCAACAGGCATATTTAAGTGTTCCACAAGTCCTTCTGAACCCTTGCAGCTCCCCACTCTCTACTGCATTTATGTGTTACTAATCCAAAAAGGTAATGCCAACAGCAGGGAAGAACTGCAGCTATTTATACTATGCTAAACAACAGTGGTGAGAACAAGGGCATCATTGTCATCCTGGAAACCCTCAATTGCTGGGGATTTGTGTAGTGAATTTTCCAGAGAATCCTGGGAAATAAACCCCACACCATACTCTATCCAGCAGCCTTCGTCAGAAGGAAAAGACAGACTTAAAGTGCATTTTAACTTTAACTATGACAACCAGACATTTAAGTGAGGAATGCTCCTATAAGCAGCTTGTTCTATATGCTGCCTGTCCCCTGCTTTGGGATCTCCAAAGCTTAAAAAGAAAAAAGGACAGGACACAGAAATTACTAACCCCACATAGGCAGGCAACGGAAGTCAAAAGCACTGGCATTAAGAGTGTTTTTACAAGCAGTGGTCAAGTCTATCAGCTCCCCTAGAAATAAGCAGATCTAACATGCAGGCAGGCAATCACAAGTGGAACGTCTTACCTTCAAGAATCTTCACATTTGTCTCAAATGGGCTTATACATCCTTTTCTCAAAAGTCAATCTGACCTTATTTATTCCTGTAATCCTGAAAGCTGTTAGATTTTTATTCTCCAGCTGGTCAGAAAACTTTTAGGCTTGCAGTTTATGTATTCATGATATATTTACATTATTTGCTTAGTTCTAGTATTACACTGAACTTAAGCCAAGTTACCTCTGTGTTTAAAACTCCACCAACAACTCTGATGCAGTTATATTTTCCCTAACCCTTCTTTACTGTTACAGAATAGACAAGCCAGGCATTCTTCCCCCTCTACAAATTCCATTCTAGTTATGCAGGAAACATTTCAGAAAAAAAAAAAAAAAATCAATTAATTTAACATTCCACAGGCGGTCTTACTAATACATATCAATTTTTAATAACAAGAGTGCTATTACATCTGGGGTACCTTGGCCTGCTATTACACATACCTTTCTGATCACAACTAAGTCTTGTTCAAAGACTATGTCATTACCTACCCATAATTACGTGTCTTTTGCAGCTAACCATTTCTCAGGTAACTACCCTTCTCAGGGTTTCCAGTGTCCTTCACTACTCAGCTATTCTGTCAAAATAATCCAAGTTCCCTTAACGTTTTCCTGTTCAATAGGTCACTTCACTTGAGCTAGAACAGCAAGCTTAATCACCAGGACACAAAGCAACATACCCAAATAAAGCATGCAAAAATTTCAAGCTTAACTCACCTTTAAGCATATTGCTTTTGATAACTCATCTGTGTATGAGACTCACGGTATGTGCATTTCAACCCAATAAAGTGTTACTGTACAGAAATAATGCTACACAATTGTTTTTTCTAATATTTATTTTTTTTTCACCTGCAAACTGTAGCAAAACATGATCAGCTTTATTATGCAGACAGGTATCCCTCTAACATTAGAGATTTAGGCGTGTATAAATAGAAGAGCTCTTAGGAAAGGAAAACATTTTGAGAAATGAACAAACCTTCAATTTAACTTCATGACTTCCAATACCAATGGTTAAAATGATGTAGCTCATTCATTCCAAGAGATACAACAGCACCTTAAAGTGGCTGATCTATTTCCCAGTAACATTTTTCACATAACAATGTGTTAAAGTTACAAATACTGATATGCACAAATAGCTATTTTCTAAGAAAAATATGTACAGTACTGCAGCATAATGAATGTGGTATCTGCAATAACTTATTCGCCAATTTTAATATACATGATACCGCTACTTTTTACCTGCCAGTTCACAGGTTCAAGGATGTTACCACAGCCCTCTGTTTTGCACGTTATTACCTGGTGTGGGGGGGTTGATTTTCTTGTTTTTTGTGTTTGTTCTTTAATTTTTTTTAAAGGTACACAATGCAGGCTTTTATTTTTACTTCTTAAAGACTTCTTTTGTGTTTAAAGCTAATATCAGTGAAACAAGACAACAGTGCAAGAGGCGCAGAGATGTTATGTGACCACGTAAGAGTTCTTTTGGGTAAAGTGTCTATAAGGCTATAAGAAAGGATTGGTTGATGAGCTTCCTGTTGGAAATTGTCCTGTTGGTGCACCAGCCTGGGGGCAAATGAAAGAAGAAAAATAAGACAAATATTTAAGATTTTTTTTCCATATTGTAAATCACAAATGCAGGATATAAAAAAGAAAACAACTTATTAGGCAGTATTTCTGGTTTATGTTGCAGTCTTTTTTTTGTGGTTCTCTGAAATTACACTACTGTAAGAGCATGGTATACAAGTACCTCTGTTTTGGCCTTACAAATGCCATCTCATCACAATACTGAATTGCATTTAGGAGATACACATGCTGCCCTCCCTTATTTGAGGCAAACCCCCCCTCTCCCCTTTGTGTGTCTCTAAATTAAGTGTTACAGATTATGCCTCTTCAGACATACAGAAGTTATTAATATCATGCAACAACTCACTTACCATAAAAGGGTTACTAGATACTCCAACAGCTGCAACTTGTCCAAAAGGAGTTACTACAGGCTTTGCCTGTCCAAATGCAGCAAAACCTGCTCCTTAGAAAGACAGTGAAAAATATTAGTACTAGTAACCAATCTTCAAAGAGTTCTTTGCTGCAGCTCCCACCCAAAAATAAGTGGAAGCTTAGACTGCACAATCGGCAGGATTGATCCTACTTAAATACTATCACGATTGTTAAGTGCAAAAAAAAAAATATGGCTGGGCTTTTTGTTTGTTTTCAACTGTTCAGAACTAATCAATTTCCAATTTCTACATATGCACTTATTTCAGTATTATTTTGTTACTTAAATTTAGAGAGAAAGTACTTTTTAATTTTTCTCTTGCCTATGTTCTATGAAGTTTCAAGAAAGTTATAATTGGTTGCAGACACTCCAAAAATGAAAACAGAACAATCCTTCCTGCATAAAAAACCTTTATGCCTGGGAATACTTATAATTTTAGTATCAGATTATGGTAAAATTTCAGTTATGTCACTGCACACAGACAAGTCAGAAAGCTCAACAACAGAACCAAAACAGAGTGTGGGAACCTCTTATCAACATTATTATCAAGTACAAATAGAAATAAATATGCACTCATTATTGCTAACTTAGAGAGATCATTTTCTCCATGTTTCTGATTTAAACAAGATTATCTAAAACATATAGACCTACCATTTGGCTGCTGAGCAAAAGCAGTCTGTTGAGGGAAAGCTGCCTGGGTTGGGAACGTGGGCTGCTGGAAGTTGCCACTAAAACTAGTAGGAAGACTGTAGGAGGCAGGAGTTCCAAATCCTGCAGGCATGCTCATGGATGCAGTACCAAATGTTGCTGCTGGTAGGCAAAAAATAACATTGAATTATTTGTAAGAAATGACTTTTTTCGTGAGACACATTACTATAATGCCACGTTAAGAAAAGTCTCCTAACGCCTCAATGACCGTACAAAAGTTAGGTTCAACTTCTTTGGCCACTGAACTGATTAGCTCGGATCACCACCAACTAGGTGCATAATTTACTTTTGCACTTTAAAAACGAATGGAGTAATTTAAAATTTATTAGATCCAGCACACTCGGATATACTTTCTGAAATGGAAATTATTTTTTATGTTCTCTACAGTACCATATACTTCCACCAGAGTTTTTCTAGTAAAGTCTGTACACATCAGAAGCAAGCACTTTCAGGCAGCAAACACGCCTCTGTTTTTCTCTTTTTGAGAAAAGCATGAAAAGATCTTCCTACTTCAAGCTGCATTGCAGGAAGTTACAAGTCAAAAAAAAAATCATAAGGGATACATGCATCCCCTCTCTCTCTTCAACCCATCCTTAATGTCACTTCAAAGGCAATTCTCACCATGCACATTATTTGCACACAAAGTTCGTATTGCAAATGCGCTTACTGTTGAGGTAAGACTCAAGACAAAAAAAAAATCAAAACTTTTCATCTGATTCTCTGCTGAACATTTCAAGTAAAGAACACACAACTCATAGCAATTCCACATGCCTTCAGCAAATAACAGGAGCACATCAAGTGCAAAAATGTAGTAACAAAACCATTATTCAGTCTTTTGGGAGTTATTCTTGAAAGGATAGGCATATAGAAGTTTTTTTGGTACAAATACAGACACCAGGCATTTTATTCTAGTTAAACATTAGCCAGGACTTTTCTTTTGAAATGTTACAAGTTAGATTTTATGGAAGCTCAACTGTTTAAATAAAATTTAATATATTTAATATAGCTTAATTATCAGTTGAAAAATTTACCCCAAAAGTATTCAAGGGCAAGACATTATACACACATAAACTGTTGACAAAGTACACACAAAACTAGTGTACTAGCATTACTCTCAAGTTACAGTTGGCAGAGAAGCTATTCAACAGGAAAACTTGATAAAACAGCAAACAAAAGCACAACAAAATGAGCAGTGACTTGGGATATCCCAAAAGGCATCAAGCTACTGTTGGTAGAAACTTTAAGAGTCACTCAACTTGTTAGCATTATATTGTGACCATGGAGGAGATCAATAATGGTTTTGTTTTAGTTGCTTAATAGGTTGTTTGTGTATGCTCTTCTCTCCGTTTTACCCAGTTGCCAAATACCCACACCCACTCAATTTTCGGAAGTCTTCCGAAATTCTACATGCAGAGAACCAGATAGCTATCAATAAGCTTTTACAAGCAAGAACAATTAGCCACAAGAAACTTGATACCAAATGTGGCCACCTACCAAAATGAGCCTGAGGAAATATGTGAGAGTGCATTGCTCCCGAGAGGCCTTATGGAAGCCACAAAGAGACCAGACAATGTCAAATCATTTACACACTCTTAAACAGTCATTTCTTAGTTATGTATAATAACTATACATACATATATGAACCAAACAATTCATCCATGGCATGACCAGCAATAGATTAAGCTAAGAAAACCATTAGAAATAAATGCTACAAAACAGATCTCCCATGTAATAAATAGCGAAGTTCATTCAGAAAGAAAGCTTAGCATAAAAGGACAAGCTACAGGTTTACACCTTACACTGAAACGGGCAGAATATTATCTTTACTTATAGCCATTACCTCTGTCACCTAGTACATAACACCAGTATAGCTGCCAAAGGGTTGGCACCTCTGCAAGCCAAGGATAGCAGTTTAGAAGGTGGAAGGATAGAGTTGCCATATTCAAACAAATGTATCTAAAGAGGCTAAAAGTTCTTGACGATGATCCAGAGTTGCACAGTTAGGAATGAGATTAAAATAAGGAAAAGAATATTTTGGGCATTAAATAGTTGAACAGGTTTAACTGCATAATATCTCAAAAGGAACTGAAAACAGAATTCATTTTAGCAGAAGACATGAATTTGATCAATTCAGTTTTAACTCAGCCTGATCAGTTTAATTCCACCTGCCTAAAACCAAGTGCAAAGTACAAGTCAGTGTTAAAATGCATAAACCAGCAGACCAGTTAATAGATAGAAGTGCCAAAATTTAGCAGTGCCTTTGGAGAGGAAAATTAGCATAATCTAACAGTCATCTAAATCCAAGTTCAGTGTCCTAAAGTACAAGTTTGCTTTTTTTATGAGTGATTAAATTTTGTCTATAGAATTATGATTCTACAGAATATTCCCCCCAGAAAGTTAACTGTACTCTTTACACTCATTAATTACATTAAACATATGCTTTACTGTTACAAAAGAGAAAAATAAAAGGACACCACCAGTGTACTGTGTCAGTGGATTGATGAGGAGCTAACAGCCCAAAAACCTTGTCTTTCCTGGTCTTAGCTTTTGAGGGCTTTCAGGGCTTGGAAATAAAGAAATTAAAAATACAAGTGTACCAGCTTAGCAGCAGGGCTTTCAAGATCCTCCATTTCCAGGCAACCTGTTATGAAGCATGGTTATAGTCTTCGAAGGTACCCAACTGCTAACACACAGACTACAAATAGCCTAGGTAGTATTAGGAGATCTTAAAACAGAGAATTTTGACATTTTTCATGGACACCATTTGAAGTCCTAGGATTGGGCCAGAAACAGGAAAATAATGTTCTCAGCCTAATAAAAAACATCACTTACCTCAAAAAAAAAAAAGTTGAAATTGATTTCTGTAGCCTACTCATAAGTATTGTACTCTACATTGAACAAACACACAACACGTCAAATAGACTAGAGACAGATAATACAGAAAATCTTTACGGAACAAATTACACAGCTATGAAAAAAAAGAATCGATGCAAGTCTTGAAAGAAAGTTTCTCAAAGACTTAGTGGTTTGTTCCTAACCTGTTGCTCCTCGGCTATTGGTCTGGAATGGATTTGTTGACGGTGCCACTGGAGCAACAGGGGCAGCTACAAATGGATTTGTGGAAGGTGTTGCTGGAAGATTAAAAACATTTTATTTAATACAGTCTTTTAAAAATAGACAGCCTGACTCGCATTAAATTTATACTGCTTTTATACAGAGATACATAAATATCTAAAGTTACATGAAAAATTAGGAGTTGATAATAAAATGCTTAATTTGAAATGCATCACAACAACAGCACTTTTTTGGCATCCTTTAGTAACGTCAGTATCAAAAGGATAGATAGTGTCAAAGCATAGCACTATCAACTAAAAGTTAGTAAGATGTTTGCTTATAGTCCACAAAAGGTGTTAGTAACACTTATATACCTCCAAATGGAGCAGGCACACTCGAAGATGCAGGCTGTGTCTGTGCAGTAGCAGCCACGGATACTGTTCCAAAAGCATTGCTGAAAATAATTCATACGGTCAGTGACATCAAAATCGGTTGTTTAACAATTACATACAACTTACAATTACTGTTGGCTCATAAAAGAACAGAAAAGGAATGCTTACATGCAGTTTGTACGTACACAATTTGCAATATAAATTCACTGATGCCAGGAACTGAGCCCCTGATGCCAGGGTCAGAGACTGTAACTAGTGCTTAGCAATGAAAAGTCATCTCCACCAACAGCAAGAAACAAAATATTGAACAGAGGCCATCAGCATAAAGATTGCAAAGCAGAAGCTTTAGGGGCACTTGCAATACCAAGCAGAGCTATGACAGGCATTTGGTATTTATTACTTTAGTGATGTAAAAAAAGTGGTTAGCACCATTTACATTATAAATATCTGAAGAATTTTTTTGCCAGGGATGATGCTATGATTTTCAGTATGTATGCAAATATTCTGTACAGGAAAGTGTCACCGTCATAACACATTTAGCTAGAATGTACCAGCTAGTAAGGTGCAGAGAACATTCTGCTGACAGAAAGTATTCTGAATTTTATCTTATAATACCCTCTCAGACTGCACTGCTATTATTTAAAACAAAGGATGTAGTTTCAGTAGTACCTCTGAACTCATTCAACATTTCCCCATTTAGGTTAAGAAATAAAACCAGATTTGAGAAACAACTTTGAGTTACTTTTCTGCATATTGCTGAAGTAAATGTAGAAAGTCAGCTACTTCTAACAAAGTACCTGCTAATGTTACTGGTGGAAGTGTACGCGTTACTAGAGGTTGCTGTGGAGCTGAACACGCTGTCTAATTCTGCTAGAGCCGCATACTTGTCTGAAGATGCACTTGACTGATTTGGGGCTGACAACGAAGGACCTGCTGATGCTGACACTACTGTACTGAAGCCACTTCCTTGCTCACTACCACCTAGAAAGAAACCAGACTAAAGGTTATGAAGATGATTTCACTTTCTGCCCTGCCAACATTGAGAACTAAATCAAAGTTTATGGACAGTATAAATTTCAAACTTAAAATTTTAAGCTCTACATTACAAACCAACAGAAGTTTTTATGCACCATTTGAGAAGAAAAAAGGTACAGAAAAACTATTTTTTTCCCCTTAAAACTAACTAAATCCAAGTACCACTGCTACTAGTTTATAAAAAACTCAAGCCAATTCTTTTTATGGTAGAGGTAGGAAAGCTACTCTGGCAGTTCTCTGCAACAACTGTAGCTCTCCATTCAAGAGCCTTCATGGTAGTTTTTAGCATAAATATAAAATATGTATTTTTTATATATTTTCATCATTGCAGTAATAAGTATTTAGATATTTCCACTTAGAGTTATTCATCTTGATAGGAAGTAGATTCCCAAAAAGCAGTCTTCTGATGACATCCTTTTGGATGTTAGTCTTAAAACTTACATCTTGCACATTAAGGGTACACTGACATGAAATTCTACCGACAAAGAAAGGACATTCTGAAATACGGTTACTATTTTGAGAAGCACAGCCAACCTTGTGGTTAAGTATACACATGTAGAATAAGCACATCAAAGAATAAAGTTTAATACCTTGCCCTGCACTGAAGATATTATCTAAATTAGCAAGAGCGGCGTATTTGTCAGCTGACTGGAGATTCGGTTTATTCACTGCAGCTTTACTGGCTGCAGTTGCTGTTGTGTTGCTCTGAGAAGCATTGAAGGCTCCAAAATCAGCACTGGAGGATTTGGGGAAGTTATCAAAGTGAGCAAAGTTAGCATTCACTGATCCAGCACTCCCACCTGCAACAAATTAAGTTAAACATAATCAACACTCCAAAGCTAGAGAAAGTCTCTCCAACTGTAACTGATGGCACAATAATCCCACCTCTTTGTAGTTACATGAGGCAACATGTTCCCCTACCCCATCCCACACATTTAAGACCCTTTCCCCATTTCCTTCAAAGTTAGATTGGGTCATCAGAAAAAAAAAATAATTTTACATTTTTTAGTCTGCAGATCAGGGACAAAAAACCCCCAAACTTCAACAGCTTAAGTCACAGTCATAATTTGATCTTGAAAAACTATGCGCTATTTATTAGCTGTTAAAGTAATTTCAACAATAATGTTTTTCTGGAAAAATACGTATGTCTTAATCTTGAATATTCAAAATACAGAAGCTTCATTTTCCCATCACATGTGTCTAATGAATAGCTACTATTTGCATTTACTTAATGATACAGTATTTAACCGCTTCAGAAGTCAGTCATCGTTTTATGAAAAAAATGGTGCCTAGAAGTCCAAAAGTAGTATGATTTCATGCCAAGGTTAGAGAGTTAGTTTGGTTCTCTGTTCTCATATTTTTAGACTTACATCCAATCAGGAAAGAGGTGAGGGGGAAGAAACAACACAGCTCTTTTTAATACCAAGTCTCCACTGAGGTCAGAGATACATAAATCAATTTTTAAAGTATGACTTAGATTCAGTTCAAATATGAAACCATGAACTTCCATCTCTTCAGTGTCCAGACAATTTAATCTAGGCAAGTCACATACTTAAATTTAAATGAGTTGTTCCATTAAGTATATCACATTTTATAACAGCGGGTTGCAGATTTCACTCATACTACAGAACACACAACTTTCTAATTGCATAATCAATAAGTTAAAACATAGGCAACAGTAGGAATGAAAATTCTATACTACAATGGCATAAAATGAAGTAAGCTGAGTTTTCCACTGTGTGGAACTTACTGTGTACAGCCTGGAGAGGAAAAGCTGAAGTAAATTCACCAAAACTGCAGCTAGATGAAAGCGTTCTGAACGCTGGACAGCCAGAAATTGTGTGTGGGGTTAAAGTTAACATAAGAAGGGAGAAAGAAAATTTGAAAAAAAGTTTAAAACGACACCACACTCAAAAGAAAAAAAAAAAGGAAAAGAAAGTCAGTCAGCCAAAGATCTGGACAAACAGCAAGTGTAAGCTCAAGCAGAAGTTATAAAGCATGATCAAATTAAAGGAAAGCAAAATAAATCTTAGCAATAGGCTCTACACATGAAGTCAAACATACTGAAGTGTGTGCATATGTTATATATACACGCATAGACACACGCTTTTTTCGTACTGTGATGTGCTTTCGGGTCTACTGAAACACTTCTCTCACAAGATAAAGAGTCAATTCAGTATTTTTCAAAAGCAGTATGGTTTACTCTTTTCATAGTTATTTCAGGTGTAGAGCTAACGAACACAGTGCCATAAATCAGACTTCTGAGTAGCATTAGGAAAAAAAAAAAAAATCAACACCAGACAGAAGGAATTCATTTTGAGTTTCCCCAGAGCTTCAGATGGCTTGATTGCATTAAAGCAGGCAGATGCAAGAAATAAACTCAACTGAAGTACCTTCCAACATAAAGGTAAGGATTATTTCAATTAAGTATTAATCAAAAGTGCTAGGAGTTCTACCTGTATTTTGGGGCTGACTTGCTGTGGGGAAACCTCCAAAATTACTCGGGCCACTAGACTGTCCAAATGCATCAAAGTTTGCAAAACCTGCATTTGCAGAGTTCTGCGCTGTAAATTGCAAAGGAACAAAACATGTTAATGGATATGGGAAATAAACACAAAAACAGATGATTAACTGAATTCATGATCATGACAGCCTCCAAGGGTTATGTCCTACCTTGCAAGTTCTTTTTACATGAAAGAATTATACAGGTTATTGTACAATTGAAAGTTGTCTTTGAACAAGCTTTCACGAATCACCTTCACAGAGCTGTACCAGTTAGTGCTACTTCTCTCCTTCTCACATATGCTACTACTCACAACTGCATGACCTGACGAAGTTCAGTGCAGCTTAACCCTAGAGAACTTGTAGTGGTGGCTGGTCAGGGAAAAACAGCCAAAAAGCATAGAATACCTGTAGAACCCAAACCAGGTATCATTCTAGATGCTAGTTCCCAAAACTAGAGTTTGTGGACTAATGAAATAAAAATTAGAATGTATTCTTGTAACATACTGACAATTTGAATTCCTTACATACAAAGTGCTTCTTCCTTGGGTGAATTTAAGTTTGTCACCACTTGAATAGTTTTAGCTAGGTTTATAAATTCATTCCACTGGAAAATGCATTTTTTAAAAAACTAAATCAGAGTACAGAAATATGGAAAATCAATACCAATGTCAAGAAGATAGCATTCATAGAGTGTATCCACAAAATAAAAATCCAAGGAAATTTCAAATAGAATTTCAGTTTTCGCCTTCCTTTCGTGCCATACTATAGGAGAAAATAAAAATTATCACCCACCCAATTTCAAACAGCTGGACATTCAAGCATCTATAGATTCAACATGAATTGTGTGCCTAACTGATAAGCCCCACTGATAAGCCCCTTAAACACTGTTACAAGAAAGGAGTAAGAGAAAAATATGTTTTTAATCAAATACAAACCAAACCCCTATGTATAGGTAAATTGAGCTACTATCTAAAGAAAGCCCACAAAACACCTTCTAGAATAACAGATGGCAATACATTCTATTTTTGGGTCAGGATTTGTTTATTCTGGAGGGGTTTTGCAGATTAAGTATATACAAAACTAATAAATTATGCCAATTGCTTAAGTACTGTTACTTAATAGCCAGATAGTGGTAATAAAAAGTTGCATTATTTCACTTAATTTCCATTAAAAAAGCATCTGTACTACAGGATTTATAAACTAAAAGGACATTTTCATATAAACTACTGTATTTCACAATGCTGCTAATATAAATAAAAGGGCCAGTATTTCACTTCACAGGGGATACTGGGAGAAAGGGCGAGATTTAACTCTACTTGATACCACTTTCTATTAGAAGTGTGCATGCCCATGGGGTTTACCTGGCACCTGCAGTAGCAGGGGGCTGCAGGGGTGGCCCCTGAAGTCACCCCCATCTCTCACAGGCAGTTTCAGCCAGCTCCAAAACAGGCCTGCGGCTGCCCAGGCTGCACCCCCAGCCACGCTGATGGCACCTTTGTGGTAATGTATTTAAGAAAGTGTGAAAACTGCTGCACAGCCCCTGTGAGAGGGGTGACAAAAATGCGAGAAATAACCCTGCAGACACCAAGGTGAGTGAAGAGGGAGGGGGAAGAGGTGCTCCAGGGACTGGAGCAGAGAATCCCCTGCAGCCCATGGAGAATACCATTGGGAAGAAGGTTGTCCCCCTGTAGCCCACGGAGGACCACCGTGGAACAGACACCCATACTGCAGCCTGTGGAGGACCCACCACCAGAGCAGGCAGAGATGCCCTGAAGGAAGCCAGAGCCTGTGGAAAGCCCATGCTGGAGCAGGCTCCTGGCAGGAACTGCGCTTAATGCAGAGGAGCCCACACAGGAGCAGGTTTTCTGGCAGAAGCTGTGACCCTGGAGGGGGCTCCACGCTGGAGTGGTCCATGCCTGAAGGACAGTAGCCCATGGAAAGGATCCATGCTGGAGCAGTTCTTGAAGAACTGTAGCTCATGGAAAGGGCCCACGTTGAACACGTTTGTGAAGGAGTGTAGGTAGGTACTTGCAGATATATGCAGACACCCCCTCCCCATGCAGGGGAGGGACCCCACAATGGAGCAGAGGAACAGCATGAGGAGGAAGAAATGGCAGAGATGAAGTGTTATGAACTGACTGCAACCCCCATTCCTCATCCCCCTCAGGGGGAAGAGGTAGCAAAGTCAGAAGCAAAATTGAGCCTGGTATGAAGGGGCGAAGGTGGTTTTAGTTTTGTTTTTATTTTTCACTATCCTACTCTATTATTAACTGACAATAGATTTAAGTTAATCTTGCCCAAGTCAAGTCTGTTTTGCCCATGAGGGTAACTGGTGAGTCTTCTCCGTCCTTATCTTGACTAACAAGCTTTTTCATCATGTTTTCTCCTCCCACCCTGCTGAGGATGGGAAGTGAGAGCGCAGCTGGGTGGGTGCCCGGCAGCCAGCCAGGGTCTGCCCACCACAGCATGAGAGTCAATGAGGGGAGGGGAAAAAAATATCAATGAGAAAGCAAGGCCTTGGGAAAGTTCTGTCCTAAAATTTTCACCTTTTAAGCGTGCAAGGAGAAAAAGTTGATGCAAACAGAAGAAAAATAGTTTCTATTATTATACCATCTGTATTGGTTCAAACTGCATTCTACAGGCTTCCATTCCAAAATCCAGTTTGGGGTTTTTTTTGTGTTGGTTTTAAAACAGTAGCTTTTTAAGAAGAATAGGTTAAGAATTCAATTGTAGCTTGCTTTAAAATGAAAGTGATGCCTTCACCCTGATGCATCGATAGGGGCTACTCCGAGACTGATGTTTAGTTGACCAAATAGGATTAAGTACATAAATGCCACTCCTAGAACTGTGACAACACTTTTCATTTGAACCACTCAAACAGAATACTACGTCAAGAATCTTAAACGAAGTATCTTTTGGGTCTAGATTAAAAACTGGAACGTATTATATTATAGGCCACCTTTAACAATTTTATTGCATCAGCTGACACAAAGTATGATTTGCAAGTGGGCCCATGTTAAAACAGTTGAGCTGTAAAGACTCTTCTGCAGAGTATTCAGATGTTAATCTTGATTTATTTTATGTGGTGAAGTTTAAAACTATGTAGAAGTGGCACAGAAGACGAGGTAAGACTTGTGCTTTCCTGTACCTGAATATGTAGATCATGTTTTTAAGGATGAACTGGCAATTCCAAAATTCAGTTCTCAATGCAGAAACCCAAGAACAACCCTAAGTAAGTTAAGGAACTGCAGCGGATTTGCATAGATTTACAACTGCTGTTGTGACTGCAGATCAATGAGGCAGTACAGAAGCTAACTGACTAAAGATAGCTCAAGTACGACAGCACCAGGCATGGCAATGCAAGCTGCCCCTACAATCTTTGCATAGTTTCTTCTGTGAGGTTTGCGGTACATAGTGTGGAATAAAGGCATGAAACATTGCAAAACAAAAAAACTAAAATAAAATCCACATATATGTAATTACAAAATTAAAATAATTCTCTAGAAGACAATAACTATGTTCTACTATTTTATTTCTTCTGGGTAAAGCCTTGTCTCCCTTGTTACCTGTGAAAGATTTGTGCTATATCACTACATCCTTTTGAAATCTTTTGTGCAGGTCTTCTATTCCATTAGTTTATAGAAAGTCTGCATACCAAGAATTTTTATCTTTTTGTTGCTATTACCAGTCTGTAAACTACAGGCAGAGAACAGTTATCTACCATCATCTTCAAAATCTCATCATTTTGCAGAAGTTATGGAACTTTGTAAATTAAATACAGACAGTAAACGAAGAGGAAACATGCTGACCTTACAATATACAACAATGTCCTGAGCCAGCTTAGTACATTAGAAAACTCAAAAAAGGAACATATCAGAAGTTGCACTTCCTGCATAATTTGCAAGCTTTACATCTAGACTTGAGAGATCACAGCACAAGTTTGTTAATATTTTCCTAACAGCTGCTGCACTCAGTTATGCCTTAATTGCACAAACAGTAACTTACACTGGGAGACCTTAAATTTGCTGGTGCTTTTCAGTCATTTCTTTAGTTAACCATAGCATACATGAAAGGAAAGAGAGAAGTCCATCCCCTGTAGGCACAGCTAAAACCAAGCCGTAAAACAAGAACACCAGACCACAAACTTCGAGAAAGTAGTGCTGGACTAAGTGCAAGTTCTTCCATCCTCTGCTGTAGCGTGTGATTACTAACAAGGATTACAAGAATTGCTAACAAGACTTATACAGCTCCTTAAATGAGCACTTAAAACTCATTTTTGCCAAAGCTGTCAGACTGATCAACTCTCCTTGTGTTCCAAAGGGAAGAGTCTGTAACATTTCATTATTAATTTCAGTTAACACTGCCCTGTGCTTACTGCACAGAGAACAAGCCTTACAAGTGTTTTACCCTAGCAAATCAGAAAACAGCTTCAGATAATCCAATCTACAATACACATTCAGCTATCGCATGCTCAGAATTAAATTTTTGTCTTTTAGAAACTGATTTACTAGCCCCGGAACTATTTTGGGTTCTAAACCTTATGGAAAGGAGTCATGGGAATGACCACAATGGTTAATTACTGAAACAGAAAACCAGTCAGTACAGCTGAGTATTCCTCTCAATTTCGATTTTCAGCACTTATTTCAACCAGAAATTAAGACTCTTTTGTATTATAATATTTATTCTGGAGTGTTCGTATTGCTTTTTATCCTTTTAAAAATTACCCAGCAGAGATGCAGTAGAATTTTACCTAGATTTGGAACACAGTATTGAAATATTGCTTCAATAGAATTTCCATTTCCTGAAATCCACAAAGAGTAATTAAGTGTATATAAATATAGACTCATTCGGCAACAAGAAAGAATAAAAGTTATGAGAAAGAATTAAATATCTGCAGTCTCTTCAGTAACACTGTACAACATTGGCCAGTCAACACAAGTTCTCCCAGTTAAATACACCTCCAAAAAGATGATTAACATGAAATCTTATGTTAAGGATTTTACCAAATACATAATAAGAATTGCTGTTGCAGTGTATTACTGAATTCAGCCAACTACTCCACAACATTTTTTTTGAAAGTTAAATTTGAGAAAGCCTCGATACTTTGCTCAGTTCCTCAGGCGTGCCTTAAGTCTCCCTCCATCACACTTCGTCTCAGCTATTAACAGTTTCAGGATTGATTTACAAGAAATATCTCTTATTTTTGTTGACTTAGCAGCATCACAGTTTCTCTCAGAAAAACTAGATGAAAAGCCCATTCAGACAAGGGAAGCAAAGGTACTTTCCCACAATTACAATGCAAGTGAGCAACAACATATTTCAGTGACCACGGAATCAACTTTTCTTTAGGATAGAGTTCTATGGCTCAAGATGTTTGGCTGTAAATAAACCCCGAGGGCTCAATATATTTTACTGAAGTCATTCCTTAAGAATTCAAGGCCTATCCCCATCCTCAGTCAAGACACATGCTCAAAGCTTGTTTATTCTTCCTGAAACTACAGAATACTACCCACACGGGTAGTATTCAGTTTTCAAATAGACACACACACAAAAAGAGGAGGTTGTTCTTTAAACTGAGGAAGCCTTTGTTTTTCTCTTAACAAATTGACAGTTATTGTCAATGCATTTGTACTCCCTTAAAGTCTCTACATCTGCTTTCTTTCCATGAATGCTCTTCCTAAGAATTTTCAGGAAGAAAACTGAAGGTCTAATAGCAGCTTCTCTCTACATTCTGTTACTCATCCTCTCACTCTTTCCCCAGAAGAATTTAAAGTTCTAGTAGTAGGCAGAAACAGTCTAATCATACATATCATAGAAAATAGCTGTAGCAACTCCTACTGCAAGAGCCTTCATGTCTTCAACCTTTCTTTATATAGATCTAAAGGAAATCTTGAGCAATACAACATTCGAGGAACAAAAATTACATATACCTCATGAAGAAGTTTAGGCTAAAGTAATCAAAAATTACAACTACATTTTATACCTTCACTAGGGACACGCTGCTAAGAACACTTACCTGTATGACTGTTGAAGTGTGCAAAATTAGCAAAATTTGCTGTAGCAGTTGACTGAGGAGGAGCAGCAGCAAAGATATCTGAGCCAAGGTCACTGAGGAGGTCAAATTGTTTCTTTTCTTGTTGCTGCTGTCCTTGAGATCGAACTACAACAGGAGACTACAAACAACATTTCAGTTAGCTAATAAAAGCTGATATTTTATCAAACTGATTTTTGCAAAATATTAGAAGGATAGACTAAGTATATTTCTTTAACAAGCCATTTAGTCCTGAAGTTTAAGATGCTGTATACAGCACAGACCCTTCTTTTATAGTATGAGGAAGACAATCTACTTATGCTACTATGGTGGCTTTTAAAGGAACTCTGCAGCAGATTTCCATGGATTAATAGGGCCTAGAAGAATAAAGTAGCAGCACGTAAGCAACTTCAAAATTATTTAAAACTGCAAACACTGTACAAATACAAGCAATCGAACTTAATTTTACAAGCTGGAAAATAGTTATTCACTGCATTCTGAAAAAGTCTTTAGAATTCAGTATAGGGAGAGAAAAATTGAAGAATTTCATAGCAAGGCTGCAACCTGCAAATTTCTACTGTTTGAATCTTAAGAGGTCCATTCAAGAGTTGCCTGTAACCTAAAGGTAAAACAGTTTTTCAAAAAACCGTCTTCCCTCCAAACTAAGTACATAGTGTTGTTTGGTTTACATAGCATCATACAGACACTCCCTGAAAGCCACTTGATAAGATACAGAAGAAATAATGAACATGCCTGCTTTTCATCCACATATTCACTACCAGTCTCATGGTTAATTTGAAAACAGTGAAATGGTTGATACTGTTAAACATATATCACATTAGGTTCAAACTTTATAGATACTTATGCAAAAGACAATCTGAATTAAACTTGTCAATCACACTGAAAAATTCTGCTTATTGAAAACAATCATTTAAAAGAAAATTCAATTTGGTCAATAGAAACAAGCTTAATTTAGAACCTGGTCTGCAAACACCTGTATACTTCAAGAAAATACATGAAGTTGTCTTTAGTGATCATATTAGGTTATAGTTGCTATTGCAAGAATTCTCATGCCACCGCAAGTACTGCTGAGCAGTTCTGTGCTCTTTAGCTCTGCCTTTACTCACTTGGCTAGGTGTGCCCTTGCTTAAGTGCAGTGCAGGTGCAGCTTCTCCCAAGAGAGATTTGAGTGGCTTCACCTCAGGTGTGCTGCTTGTACTACTAGCAGAAGACCCCGATATGGATGCATGGACTGATGCCACCACCTTTGCTTGCTCTGGAGGAACATACCTACATTCAAAAAGAACAATGTTTTTTACAAGTTTAACATGAACAGTTCTGTTCAACATTCCTAAGACTTAAGTAAGAGAACTGGTAGATCTCAGCTTTGCTATTTTAACCACTGACCCTGCAACAAATTCTATCAGTAGTTTGCAAAATACCCATTATTTTAAGAGCAAAATACACTAGATATTTTTTTAAAAATGGTCTGGAATTCCAAGTCATCAATATTTTATAGCACTTATTTAATACAAACCACACGTCTTCCACCTCCTAATAAAAGCCTGCAAAACCTTTACTTTACACTGTTCTTGACATCCCCTTAAGCCATTTCTGTTCCATCAATATGAACTACACATGGAGAAATGTCTTCAAATAGTTTATCTCTCTGCTTCCTGCAGGAGCTCTGAATAAAGCCCAGAAATCATTTCACTTCAGAGCTGTGCAATCTAGCCCAAAGAGCACACAAGAAGGAAAGCACACTCAAGAATGTGAGGATTAGAGTCCATCTTCACTTCCTGTGATAGAGGCAATCTTTATAATTGGAAAGCTATCTTACCATCTTTTCTTTTCATATTTTTCCTGTAGAAACTCCTTTACTTTCTGAGGATCCCTGAAGTCTGGAATTGCTGATGATCTATCATCAAATAGGCCTAGCCAAATCTGTTTGCACACCTTAAAAAAAACACCACCACAGATTAATCAGAGAAAATATGTTAATTCAAAAACTCTAAGTTTACAATTGTTAATATATCAAACCATTAAAAAGTGCGTGGCTGCACATTTTTTGTTCCAGACTGAGCTGCTTTAACAACTGACTGGTGCACCATGTACTGGTCTAAATACTTAAAGATCATCATCACACTTAAAATGTTTTCTTTAAGCACTTAAGACTACTCTGCAAGTAACCTGAATATGCACTGAAACAATATATTAAATATTAGCTACCCTCTAAAAATGGACTCTACCACTTTAGAACAGGTTTCTTCCAGAGGAGTCAAAAAAGCTTTGCTTTTATGATGCATACCATTTCTTCCCACACCTTTTCTGAAAGAGTCCCGACCATCCCTCTTAGATGCCTCCTACAAATGTTGCCCTCTATCCCTGCAATAGTGCTGGGGGCGGGGGGTGGTGTTGTCATCTTTACCTGGCCAGCTAACTTCACCAAAATTGTAAATTAGCACCATCAGGATCACTAGTTATCAAATGTGATAAATCTTATAGGTCATTTCAAAGATTGTTCAGGATGAGAGAGATTCGACAGACAGCATAAGTATGTATTTCACACTTGATGTCTTGATGTCTCTATTATAGAGCCTGCTTGCATGTCCAACACTTCACAGTCCTTATTGTCATCTACTGGATAGAGACAACAATGGGAAACAGATCTAATGATCAAAGGATAGCTCTAATTTAGGGATTTAAATACTCATCTAAAAATAAGATCAGTAGCTCTTACTTCAAATAAACTCAGCTATTCAGCATTCATTCAGCAACAGTACTCCACAGAAGGGTTACATTCAATGCACTGATTTGAGTTTGCAAATTTAAACAGTCATTATTTGCAGTATGGTAGTAGATTAAATGAAACCAAAGGTATTTAATACTTCTTCATACAAAGTTACAAGATATAAACTTAGTCAAAGTAGTCACAAGTCTGTTCTAAAATAAAAGCCAGTAGCATAATGCACTACTTTAATAGTAGCAATATTTCACGTTAAGTACTACTTTTTAGCTTTAAACATCTGCAATGGATAGTCTGATGTGGACCAGCAGTCGTATTTCTATACATAGATTTGAGAGTATAACTGTGCCAACTAGTAGTCGTATGATTGGTAAGAGGAAAAGTAGTCCTGTTCAGTGGTCTAGTCTCAAGTCCAAGGAGTTGGTGGTGTCGAAATCTACACAGCCCCATCCTCCCCCCCACCCCCAACTACACTATTAGGAGGAACATCAAGGAACACTATAGAAAAGAAAAAGATGAGCCTAATTTCAGACAAGCAGAACGCCAAGTGTTAGAACAGCCCCTACCTGATCCCACACCTAGCAGAAAAACTCAGGGCTGTACTGTGATAATCAGTTTGCAACCAGCCTAAGATGTGCTAGTGAACAGAAGAGGAGGTCCTCTTCCCCACCCGTATCAGGCCATTAAATTACTCCCCTTCTACCACGCAAAACAAGTCAGATCAAAGAAACTTATCACACTTACCATGTCACTAGTACCACTGAAACCTGTACGGAGATCAACTCACAGCAACAGTCAAACCACAATCCAGTTTTTCACCCTCCTCCCTCACAGTTTTCTGCTTCATCTTCATCCTAAAGTGCATAAGCATTCAGCGGGGTGGGGGGAACCACCCCACACAAAAACCCCAACTCCATGTCAAATAGTCTGAAGCCTTCCTGACCACTACAGGAGAAATCAGGAAAACAAGGTCCTGCGTAACTTTAGATCATTTGCCGGCTATGCAGCTATAGTAGATAACAGTTCTATGAATACGCAAACAGGTACGAAGGAGGACTGTGCTGTCCAGACACACTGTTAGCTTAAAATGATTCAAGCTTCTTGAAAGGCGTCAATTCTTGCATTGCAATTTTTGCAAACCTTCAGAAAGCAGGCTTCCAAAAGCATTTCGGAGCAACTGATTTCTAAATACTTAAGGCATATTTCAGTTGTTACTGCTTTTGTGTTAAGTCGCTGTTACAACTTATTTAACTAAACCTGCCAGGCATTCTTGATTGGTTCTCTGTTACTGGTAGCAGAGAGAACAGTATTACTAACAGGCAACACACAACCACCAACCAAAAGAACCTAGATTTAGTCACACATGCTTCAGGAAGTTGTTCTCATTTTAACAGAGTTTAACAGCAGTAGCTCTACAAACACAGGTTAAAACACTCACTTTACCGTACCAGAGATGCAAATTAAATTTCACATAGGTTTCTTTAGGTAAAGAGTTCTCAGAGAAAGTACAGTTTTTTAGAAGTCCTAAATACAGACAAGGCCTTTAGAGAGCCAAATTTTAAAGCTTTAATGTAATACAAGAAAACTATTAAAACATAGTTTTGTCTAATTCTCTATGAAGTACCACACAATGCTTTGAACATCAGCAGCTCTTCTAAAGCAAGCATTCAGAACACAATAAGAGGCCCATTGTCTTTCCTTGTTTGCTGGTGACCTGTATGCTCTTTCTAGCTATACTTTTGTTACTATCATCTGACTTGACAGGGATCCACAATGCTGCATTCATTATGCTTCATGAAAGCCATAAGACACAATTTTCAGCTATCTACAAAAAAAAAGGCAGTGTGCTGTGCAATACCGTAGGATGAAACCAAAATTGGAAATTAAAATTAAAAAATATTGTCAGAGACAGAATTCACATTGCCCAACAACTGTTCTTTGAAATAGTTATCTTTTCATAGTCTTAAAATAAGTCACGAACAGTACTGAATCTTGTGCAAAGAAGAGTTTGCTGTGAGAAATATGAATATTTTTACTGATCAGGGCATAATTTTTTTTTATTTCAAAGCTATTTAAAAGTTACTTTTATGATAAAAGATCAAGGAAATTTATGCCATACTATTTGCTGTTGAGTTATGGTGAATGATCACTCAGCATTACATCTTTGGTACCCTGATTATTCCCCACTAATCACATTTTTTACATTCACTATCTGAATTTGACAGCACTTTAAATACTAAAGGATTAATTGTAACAAAAACAATGAGTGGAAATGTAGAAAAATCAGATCGGCAGCTTTAGTTGCCAATACTTCAGCTTCAGTTCCATGTTCTGTCTGGCCTGACAGCTGTCTAGGCAGGACACCTGAACAAATTAACACACAGTTACTCACAAGCATGTGCTGACTCTTGCCCAGCCATTACTGACAGGACATGGGGAAAAGTGCAACAAGGCAGTAAAGGGCATATAAATCTGAACAAAACCAAGTTTAAGTGACCAGTTGCTCTACTAAACACAATGCTTTCTTCTTAGTTTTCTAATACAAACTTACTATTTAAGAAAAAAACAGACAAGGAAGTAATTTTCAAAAGAAGCAAAAATTCAGAAAAACATATGCTTTGAGAAATCTGAATTTGATACCCAAAGAACACGTATTTCAAAACACTTCTAACTACTCCATACATAAATGAGACTTGCAAAGCTGACTAAGAAAATACTACTGCCCAAGTTTCACGATACATTTTAAGCTCCATTTTAACAGAATTACTCATTCCTTTGCTTTTACAGATAATACATGAAGAAGCATCCCAACTCAAAGTTACACAACATTACTACTAAGGTACCAGGCCTAAAAATTCTATGGCTTTCTGAAATCCTTCTACACTGCACCATCTTCTTGGTGATGCTCTGGTTCATCCATTTAATATTAATATTGTTCTTTTTGCAACAGCAGCACAAATAAGCCTCTGCTCAAAAGCTCTGTTCATTCACCAAAAGCCTTGCTATACTCCTTTTGATAACCAAAGCTCTATTAAACAAAATGCTCTGCTTAGAGAAGAGCCTGGCAAGCTGGAGCCAAGAGTAAACATTCAAGTTATGTGGAAGCCCCTAGAAACAGTGGAACATATCCAACAATCCATAATCATTGTCCACTGTCCCTGAAAAGTATAATTAGTCCATGTCCCGCTGGTTCACCAATGCAGCAAGAAAAAAAAAAAGACAGCATTGAAGTCAGAATGATTAAGCATATGCAGCATTTGAAAGTCTACTTTTGTTCAAGGGTTGACAGAAGCAAGACTTTGAAGTTTCGCCTGCCTCTACTACATTGTGGGAGCTGCAAAGTAACAAGAAAAAGCAAAGTTTTATCTTGTCAGGTAACAGTAAGTAGAAAACAAGACTCATCAGTTATCTTCATGAAATTTAAAAGTTCAGGAGAATCCTTTCACAACTGGTTTGGGAAGAACAGTACCTGTTCTCTGCCAACAGGCTTCAATCCTGCAAGGGATGTCATTAGACATTTGGCAACTAGATACTGGGACATTCAGAATTAGATCAGTAAGTACAGCGTGAAGCAAA